CTACTCACAGGAGGCATCTGTGACTCTGAAGGAAGAGGCCTCAAGCCATGCTGGTCACAGAGCACAGATGTCCATGGATCTCATCTCACTCAGAAACAGGCTGCACAGAGGCGAATTCACACATTTTACAAGGGTAAGCTCAAATAGACCCAAGTCACTGAGAAAACCAATGGCAGAATGTCATTTAAAAATTTTTTTTAAACTACAGACAAGCAAAGGACTCTCCTGTGTAACAAAGGCCTACAGTCTACTTAGAAGGGGTTTCAGTTCTTCACTTTTAATCCGTCTCTGAAGCAGATCCAGGCAAGGACTTCATCCAACCTCAGCATGCAGATTAAAGCCAATGCTTGTGCTGGAAACCAGCCCTGGAGTTGCAGACATCATCTGAATCATCCCTCTAGAGGATTCGCTCGGCAAACTTAGACAACCCCAAACGGTTTGTGGAACCAGTGGGGGGTATAAATGAGCAAAGACAAAGGGCCAGACGCCACTCCTCCAGTGTACGCCTCTCCCAGCTTCCCTTCCTCTGCACGTCAAAGTGAGATCTTCTGTACCCATTAACCAACAACTCCCCAATCTTCCCTTCCCAGGCTCCTAGCAACCAACATTCTACTTCCTGTCTCTATGATTCTGACTACTGTGGGCACCTCATATAAGTGGAATCATATAGTATTTGTCTTTTTGCGTCTAGCTTATCTCACTCAGCACAATGTCCTCAAGGTTTACCCATGCTGTAGCATGTGACAGAACGGCCTTCCTTTTTAAGCTCTTTCACATCTGTATAATATCACATTTTGTTTATTCACTCAATCATCGATGGACACTTTGGTTGTTTCTACCTTCTGGCAACTGTAAATAATGCTGCTATGTATGAATGTGCACATGGGTGTACAAATATCTCTTCGAGATCTTGCTTTCAGCTCTATTTGTTATACCCAGAAGTGGAATTGTTGGATCATACGGTAACTCTATTTTTAACTTTTGTGGAACTACCATACTGTTTACCATAGCAATTGCACCATTTTACATTTTCACTAATAATGCACAAAGGTTTCAATTTCTCCACATCCTCATCAACATCTGTCATTTTCCATTTTTTAAAATAATAGCCATCCCAATGGGTGTGAAGTGGTATCTCACTGTGGTTTTGATTTGCATTTCCTAAGTCAAAGTGAGATTTTGCACTAAAAACAGGTCTAGTACAACTAAAGAATGATTTTTTTAACAAGTAAAAAACACTAGCGCTCTCAAAAAGCTATGTTGCATGGAAGCATATTTTCCCTAATATCCTTGTGATAAGAACCTCATGAAGCCCATTCCATTCTCATTCTGTAAACCAAGAGGTTCAGAACAGACACGCAAACATCAGTGGCATCCACATTTCTTATCCCAAGCAGGTTTTAACAATCCCTGGGAAACCTTGACCCCGAAGTCAGAGAGCTTAAAAAAAAATCTATTAGCGACCAAAGGGTATTTATCTATAAAGAATGCTATTGTGAGACAGAGTCTTACTCTGTCGCCCAGGCTGGAGTACAGTGGCGTGATCTTGGCTCATTGTAAGCTCTGCCTCCCGGGTTCACGCGATTCTCCTGCCTCAGCCTCCTGAGTAGCTGGGACTACAGGCGCCCGCCACCACGCCCAGCTAATTTTTTGTATTTTTAGTAGAAACAGGACTTCACCGTAGCCAGGATGGTCTCGATCTCCTGACCTCATGGTCTGCCCGCCTCAGCCTCCCAAAGTGCTGGGATTACAGGCGTGAGCCATCACGCCCAGCCTATGAAAATAATTCTAAGTGAGGGCAAACTACTAAATAAAACATCATATTTGTTCCAACACCTAGAATTGGTCACAGAAGCAACAAGCTGCCTTCTGCACGTTGAAACTTGCCTGCTGAGCCCAGTGTCCACCATCAGCATGTGCAATCCTTCTGCACCACTGCTCACTGTTAATTCATTAAACAAAATACAAATAAAAACACTGTGCAAAACCATCTACCTGGGCCTTGCTTCAAAATAATCCAAAGGGTTGGGCGGGGAGATACAAATCAAATAAGCTAGATGGTGGGAACATGGAGCTCATTTTATTATCCTACTTTTATATTTTCTCCATTTTAAAAAAAGAAAACTTATCTGAAGAGGTAAGGGCTTGGGCATTCCACTTTATACATTTTCAGCAACCTGAGGCAGACACTAGGCAGCTGAGAGTGCTACGTCACAAGGAAAACACTGAAGCTTAGCCAGGTCACTCAGCTCAGGGAGACCCTGGGTGCCCAGAGCCAGCCCGGCACACTCCTGCTACACCATGAGCTTCCCAGAGGGCTGTGCGCCCCAGTGTCAGGCCTCACCCCACATTGCCAGCTCCAGTGCAAATGAAGACTGCACATCACTACCAGGAACCCAGTGGGAGGGTCCAGCAGCTTCCCCCTAAGCAAGGCACTTGGCCTCCCACTCTTATTTCCCAACCAAGCTCTCTCATGCTTGGTCTTCCTGGCTGTTCCTGTTTGTTCCTTCCTGTTCTGCCCCAACACACACTAACTGAAAAATGATTAACTTTCAACACACACATTGCCAAATCTGCAAAAGGCGGAAAACACTGCAGCACCCTTCAACCACCAAGCAGACTTACTACCATGCTGGATTCATGCGCCCCACTACTGGAATATAGTGCGGCAAATGTGTTACCGCGCAAGTTAGTAGAGCTCCCTGGTGTCAAAAACTCTCTCCTGAAACCCTCTGAAGAAATGAAGACACCAGGGCCCTCAGCCACAGCGGTAATGGAAGAGTGTTGCTCTAGATGCAGAAATTAAGATGAGAGTCGGAGGTTGAGGCACAAAGCCAAGCAGCACACCCACAGAAGGGAGCAACTGGGTGTCCAAGTGTCCAAGTGTCAGACTGCCTGCCTAGCCCAGTGACCCTCCACCATATACTTGGCTGGGGGTGCAGGATGGTGGAGGGGGAACACCAGGTAAGGCCAAGGGGCTCTCCAGACAGGGAACAATGCTGCTCTGAGAAGCCAAACATCATGAGGATGGAGCATGGAATCCCACATTAAGAGGGACCCAGAGGCACCACATCAAATATCCAGCAATGCCCTATTTCAGGAACAATGATGCAGTTGCTGGTGCAAAATTATCGGAGCATAGGAAAAGATGTGGGCTAAAAGACCAAGCCATTGAATCCCACCTTATTTTTCTCTAGGACAGAAAATCCCCAAACACACTAAGATAAATCACCAGGAGATGAGGCTGTAAAATCAAGCTTGCAAGGCTGAGAAGACTTAGTAAGTCTGCCTTGTTTTCAAGAGTTCCAGTCCCCATAGCTGATGCCAAATCTGCAGTAGAAGCAAAATATGACATCATGGCCACTCATTCTGTCCTCCTTTCTCCACCTACACCCACACAGATATTCATAAACTATGTTTAATGGTTTTAAAAGCCTCTGTGCATGATCATGTCCCCAGGCCCTCCTGCACAGAATCAATGTCTGCCTCTCCCTGGACCAATCTCACTGGCAATAAACACATGCTATATCTCCCTTAACCCCCTGACCATCTCCAGCCAGTGTCCAACTTTTCTTCTCCTCTTTAAGGCAAGCATCCTTGGAAGAACTGTCAAGAGTCATCCCCTTCACTTCTTTACTTCCCACTGGCTCCTCAGCCAACTCCAGCTGGGTTTCTATCCACCCACCCCGATCTGCTACCCAGAGCACAGAGTGGTCTCTTCAAGTTCATCAACAACCTCCACTTTGTCTAAGCCATTACCAATGTCCTGTCCTCATCCTTCTTCGCCTCCCTGCACCATGGTTGACTGTGCCTTTCTACTTTAAAGGCTTCTACAACACACAATCTCCTGGTCTTCCCTTTACCTCGGACCGCTCGCTCTCAGCCAACTTGGGAGTGGGTTTTCTTCCTCGACCCAACCTCTAGCATCCTAGGGCTCAATATTCAGACCTCTCCTCTTCTCAGTCAACACACCCATTTTCCACACTCTCATCTGGTCCAGCCCTTCCTCTGATGGTGGCTGGCCAAGACTTCCATCTCCAGGACAGTCAACAACAAAGGAAATGGTATCTCCCTGAGGCTGGCTATGAGATAATTTAAATGTACCCCTTCTATCCCAAATCCCATCTCAGAACCTGGGCACTCTGCAGAGTGACTCTCCAGTCACTCCAAAATAAGATCACACCACCCAACTTATAAGCCTTCCAATAATTATTTAAAGCAGTAAAAAATAATTCCAACTATTTATTGAGACCCGTGTGATCCTTTGTGACCCGGCTCCTGCATGCCTCTGTCCCTATCTGTGTCCCTTCTCCTACTTACTCAGCTCCAGCCACATGGCCTTCTGTTTGTCCTTTGCACACACACAGCTCATTCCTGCCTCAGGCCCTTTGCAGCTGCCATTCTGTCTGTCTGGAGCATTCTTCCCCAGATCCCTGCTTGGCCGCCTCTTCATTAGTACTCAGTTTTCAGCCCACAAGTCACCTCCACAGAATGCCTTTCCCTGGCCACCCTAGCTAAGGAGCATCTCCCTCACTGTCCTGTTGTTCAGGAGGCTAACATGCCTCTTGGTTACACATAAGCACTATAAGAATAGCACTTTATTGCCCTTGTCTGCTATCACCTCCCAGAACCTAAAACAGGGTCTGGCCCATAGTCAGATTCACACAAAGTACGTTGCTGCTGATGTCTCATTGGGGCACTCCCAGGATCGGAACAGGGGGCAGGTGAGGGAGACAGACAGGAATCTGGGTCAGAGTCCCAAGACTTCCTGAACCCCCAAGGCTGGGTTGGCCTTACTCTGGCTTTCAATCACCTCAGCCTTCGGCCTTCCCCCATCCCCACAGTTGCAACTGGTTCTGTGAGGGTAGGGGTCACTGACCCTGCCCACCACCTTATCCCAGAGCTTTACATAGTGTCTGGCAAATTAAGAGTGTGTGGAAAACCATAATTTAGTGAATAAAGGACTAAACAAGGGAATGTGGCCACTCTCATCCACTTACCCAGAAGATGATGTTGTAGCTGAAAAGGAGGTACTTGTACCAGCAGCTGACCTTGGCGTTAGAGTATCTATAATAGTGCATCTTCTGAGAAGCAGAATCTGCGGAGAGATGTGTGACTAGTGAGATGACAGGCTCAGCGTTAAAACCTCTCCCCAAAACCTGCTCATAGGTAGATTCCAGAAAGCTCCCGATCATTTCCCTCATGACCCTTTACCGGTCCAAGCAGAGGCCTACTATCAAGGCTAGGTATACGTAACGCAAAACTCAGGTTGAATCAGCTCTCCAAAAAACAAACGAAAGGATAAGAGACATTTTTGAAAGAAGGAAGAAAGATGCTTTTTAAGTGTCTTTTAAGTACCAAGAATTCTGCTTGGAGCCTTCCCAAATATTGATCTCATCACCTCTCGACTGGGAATTGGTTTTTTTTCACTTCATGGTTTAGGAAACCATTCAGAAAGATCACATGACTTGCCCAAGGACAAGAGAGCAGTGATAGCCCAGGATTGCAACCAAGGACAGGGGACTTCACAGTCCACGTTCTTTCCACGCACCAGAGCCAACAGAAGAAACAGGGGCTCGACCACAAAGAGCCACGTTTGGGAGATGAACATGCAGGCAGGTCTGGACATGATCCAACTGTGCCCAGTGGAGAAAAGCCAAGATGAGGGCTCCATATTCATTCATGCAGCATTTTCTGAGAACCTCTGAAGCTCAGCCCTCAGAGGTGAGGAAGGCCACTGGAGCCAGCAGCCATCCCCCTGCTCCCTCCCTCCCCTGTCACCCGCACCCCGCCCCCCCACCTCAACCCAGACCATAGCCATAGCTTTGTCCTCCAGGGCTGTCATGAAACTTGGACTACACAGCCTACGTGGGAAGACCCTGTGAACTACAGAGTGAAGGGTGGGGCCACTGATTTTTATCTGTGTCTAACCCCCAAAGCAACCTCAGAGATCCTACCACAGAAGGGTGTTATTTCTGAGGGACTTTTCTGAGGGCCTGGGCTACCTTTACTGCTTTCCTTTTTGAACCCCAGTGGCAATCCAGGTGGACCCCTAAGTCCTCCACGGTCTCCTGCCCCCCAGTGCAATGGCTGAACAGCAAGGAAGGACAGAGTGCCTCAAGTGGACAGGTAGGAACAGGATCAGAGGCCCGCAGGGCAGTGGTCCCACGCCAGCCCCCTGCTCACCCCCAGCTTCCCAGGTGAGGAGAGTAACACAGCACAAGGCGAAAGCAGACAAGGCCACCCTAGAGGTGAGGAGGCGACCGACCCACATCCGCCAGTGAGAAACCAGCTTCCACGTGGTGGCTACTTGCAAAACCCCTTCCTGTGAGGCTGCCACGGCCGGCTGGCTGCTGCTCTGCAATGTTCTCAGAAAGAAGTGCCAAGAAGGGACATGAAACCACACTCCTCTGGAAACGGAACCTGTGACCGCTCCACCTCTCCCACGGTGTGGAATTGACAGGCACAGCCTAGACACCACCATTCATCCACTGGCCCCTCCTTCTGTCTGACCTCAGGAACCGGCAGGGGAGAACGACAGGCAGACCACTACCCAGCTGCCCCATCCCCACCTCCTGCCCTACCACCACCCCACCAGCAGAAGAGTACGTCCATAAAACTTGCCTCCAAGAATGAACACAACCACCTGCTGCCCAAGGACTCTACAGGACACAAGGCCACACACGAGGCCTAAATACTGTCTGGGCCACACAGAGTGGCTGCAGGGAGAAAAGGAGCTCTCAGGTAGAGACACAGGCGCCTTCCTCCGGCACCATGACCTCAGCCCATCCAAGTCCCTGCTCTCTCGGGACCTCAGCATCCTCAACTAAAGTGGGGCTCTTAGTGACCTACCCCTAATGTCACTGGCATGAGGGGCTTGTCTGGCAGCATCGGAATCACTTGTTCTAAATACAGATCCCAGCCCCCAACACAAGGTTCTGGTAAGGAGGTCTGTGTTGGAGCCCTGAATCTGCATTTCTGACAAGTCCCCCACCCCCGCCCCCACCATGATACTGATATGCCAGCAGACCCATGCCCAGCAGATCAGGTATCAGCTTAGGCACCAAGGGCTGCAGCAGTCCCCTTGGGGGATCTTACAAAGGTAGATGGGCCCGTGAGCTATGATGCAGCACACGGATTCACAGAGAGGGGCTCCTTGTAGGCAACTAACTTAATGGTAGCTATAGCTAACATTCACCAGCTTGTTTCAGATTACAGGGCCCCACAGCACTGGGTTGGTTTGCTAATTTTTTGTGTAGGTAGAGATAGCAGTCTCACTATGCTATGTTGCCCAGGCTAGTCTCAAACTCCTAGCCTCAAGCAATCCTCCCTCCAGGGCCTCCCAAATTGCTGAGATTACCTACATGAGCCACCACACCCAGTCAATGGTTTGGCTTTTTTAATTGTTCTGTTTTTCCCCTTCAGGGGAGGGTTGGGCTACCCAACTATAAATCCATGACTGGATTAATGCATATAGAATGAAAAAAAACTTTTAACCTAAAACTCAAGTACGTTTATCACAGAGAACTGTCAATTCAGCTGGAAACGCCCTATGAGGCAGAAAAATGTTCTAAGCAGTAGAAACTCTGTTCCTTTTTATGGACAAGACAATCCTGCCCCCCCTCTTTCTCATGGTTCCCAGAGGAGCCTGGAAAGTAGAAGGCTGTGCCCCCCAGGGAGCTGGGCCTCAGGAACTGAGGAGGGCTGGTCAGGCATGGAATCGAATGCCTTGGGATCCTAGGGAGTGCTCCTTTGACCTCATTTAACCCAACCCTGTAAAGAACTCTCCGGAAGCAGTAAGAAAAGCCAAACTTCCCCCTTCCTCCTTGATGAAAGCTCCACAAAGAAACCAGCTCATTAGCAAACGTGTCTGTGTGCTTTCCGCAGTGTTGGTGGCTCACCTCTGCTCCCCTGCCCGGGGCCTTCGCAAAATGACTGTCCTGTGGCAACACAGGGAATCTCAACCTGATGGTCCCTGGTCTCCTGCAGCTCGCAACCATTAAGTGCACAGAACATGGAAAGGCTACAGGGAACACTTCAGGGGGATGCAGCTCACAGGGAGGCCAGCACTCTGGAGCAAGGATTCTCCATGGGGCGCCTGGCTTCCCTGACCATCTGCTGTTTCACCTTCCACCCAACACTCATGACCAATCAGGAAACAATTCTGCTTTCAGATGCTGGGATCCACACTTACACCCATCAGAGACTCTCATAGCCACACCCTAAACTCCAAGCCCTCACTCCCTCCCTGGTAACATCAACACTCGAAACTACACTAGCCAGGGCCACACTGCGGAATAACTAGGAAGAAACCCCCTCTCATCCAAGAAGAGGTATGCCACACTCAGACAACGTATCCTGATACACGTGCCACTTACAACCCAGAGCACATGCACCACCAGCATTATACCACTTTTGGCCATTTTTGTACAACCCAGGATAACCCCATGAGGTCTAGAGGTGGGGCTGTCCCAGTGACACTTTTTCCCCCATCCTCAGCCCACAGAAGAGGAAACTATTGCAAGAACTGTTGCAAGGAAACATTTCAGTTTTCCTTCACCCCCTCCCCCACCCCTGCCACCCACCTAACCTCAGGAGAGGGAGGGAAGGCACCTCTCACTCTGTCCCTCTCTGCTCTGTTGGTCAGCAGGTTGAAAAGCAGGTCCTGACCCTCCATGGGGCTGGCAGATCCTGTCTCCACACAGTTTAAGCTGAGGGAGGTAAATGGGAGACTCATTTGGACTCCAGCCTAAGCCACATCCTCCTACACAGTGTATGGTGGCCTTCTATCTGTGGAGGGGTAATGATGGAGGGAGCTGCACAACAGGTGTGGCTCGGAGGCTTCAGAATCCCAAGGGAGGAAAAAAGGACTGAGCATTCGTGAGCCACCAACGGAGCTACTAGCGCATTTACGCAAAAATGCAAGAAGGCTGATAAGGCAGTAGTGCTGAAACTAGAACCCAGATCTGACCCGAAATGATTCCCGAAATGACCATGGTCCCTAGCATCTCACCTCATTTGCTAAACCACATCATACTGAAGGAAGGCAGAAATTAGCCCTCTATGAGCAGACGCATCCACAATGAACACCAACACCATTTATCTTACACACACACACACAGACACACGCGCACGACTAAGAACCTTCCTGAAAGTAGAGATGGGTAAACTTTTCACAAACGTTAAGTACCATTCCAGCAGAGGAAGAATCTCCAAAAGCTATTTTGTGTGCACAGAAAAAAAAATTAAGATCTCAAACTGTCTCAACTCTAAGAACATGATAGAAAATAAAGCATCAGTGTGGCAGGAAGCAGGCACATGTTCATCAAAATACCAACTTTTCAAAATGGGGCAGAGGGAGAATTGTTTAACAGTGGTGAGATAACTGGTTAGCAACTTGAGGGGAGTTAAATAATAAGCAAATAACAATTTACAGATTTAAAGGGCATACGCACATGCACGCAAACACCACACCCAGAGAACAGGGTTTTCAATTCCATTTTACCCTCCTTCAACTTTTGAGGCAACAGGAAAAACCAGTTAAAAGCACAACACTACCAAGCCTGAACAGATAACAAGTCTAAAAAATCCCCATGATTAAAAGTAACATTAAAATAAAAACGGAAACACAAATGGTATCTGCAGCTGAAAAAATTACGACAGAGTAAATATCTGCAACCTACAGAGACAGTCATACTTCAAAAAGACTCCCATTGTATACAAATGAACAAAGGATATGAACATCATACACGAAGGAAAGAATAACATAACAAAGGGAAGAATAACATAACAAATGGAAAAATAAGCCTGCGCAACATGGCCAAACACCATCTCTACAAAAAGTACAAAAATTAGCTGGGTGTGGTGTCTGAAGTCCCAGCTACTTGGGAGGCTGAGGTAGGAGGATCGCTTGAGCCCGGGAGGTCAAGGCTGTGATGAACAGTGATCACACCACTGCACTCCAGTCTGGGTGACGGAGCAAGACCCAGTCTTTAAAAAAAAAAAAAAAAAAAGGAAAAATATTCAATGTCACGAGAAATAAAACTGAAAGACAATCCAGACATACTATTTCACACTTTTTTTTTTTTTGAAACGAGT